TAAACTGATTAAGCTCGGGTAATCAGACTAAAGTGTGAAAAATTGAAAATTCAAGATAACGATATGAAGAGATCAATATTTTGGGTGTAAGGTGCTTAGCACACATATAGTTGATGGGTGAAATCACAATTTACCCAATATACTAAGACAATCACACCCTTTGACGATCTTTTGCCAATAGCATTTTATTTTGTATCGGAGAATGAAAAATATTCAACAAACGGGGTAATTCATAGATAGGGGGCATAATCTTCAAATGCCCATAGTCTAAGGGGTCATCTTGCAATTAATACTTTAAATTTTCCTAAAAGTTGGCGGTTGCGCAACATGCGATGCATGCTTGGCGTACGGTGACGCCCGCCAAATTGGCGGGAATCTGTTACAGAGCACTTTGGAATTTCACAAGTTGGCCAGGTCGGTCCCTAAATTTTCATGGTGCACTGTTGTCGGACGGTAACTGGAAAAGCACGGAGCGATAACTGCAGCAAAAGCAAATGTACAGTAAAACAAGGAGGGAAAATTACACCAATTGTCCCTCGTGCATTACATATGCAAAATTTTAATCTCTCAAAATTAAAATGAGTTATTATAATCATTAATAAACATAAAACGCTCGCTTTTGGTTCTTAATCAACTTTTTTTCTGACTGAATTTTGGCCGAATTCTGGATCCCTTCACCTTTCCATTGGGTTTTGCAGATTTTTTGGATCTAACTCATTGAAAAGTTATTTCGACAAAATTTAAAACTTGATTTTCGATATCAATCAAGCTCTCAAATTATTTCAAACGTGTTATAAGCTTCAAGTCAAACCAAAAAAAAAAGTCATCACATAAACATAAATCAAAGGATCAAATGAGAAATTCAAAACTCCAAATTTTCTGCTCTATTTTCTCCACGAGGAGACCCAGACAAAGTTACAATTAAATTACATCAAATTATTTCTAGGATCCTAAAGATTAAGACCCATTAAAAATTTGAACCTAATAATCCGCAAACAAGGGACCGAAATTTCGGCCATGCAAAAAGGATAAATCAGTTTATGCTTCTCGTTCGGAGTCAGCCACGGGGCGGCCTCATAGACGCTTTTGGTCACGCCTGATACGGCAGGGAAAGCTCTAGACAATGGCATTGTCCACACCACAAACTACTACTGACAATGGAATAAATGCACGAGGGATAGTTTATTAGATTTTGGAAGCCTCCCCTCAATTATTTTCATTTTTTACTTTTATTGTAATAAAGTCAGACCATTTATTTTAGAAAATTAATACAAAGTGCTAAACGGTAATTTAAGAATTCATATGAGAAATCCGTATCCTGTATAAGAATGAATTTACATCAAAGAATGGCTTTGAATTTCAATCGTAAGAGTATGGGCATATTAGGATTGTAAGGTTATTTTGAGTGTAGTTATAAGGTTAGGTACTACTTAAGAAAGCATGTGTATTTTTATATTTACTGAAATGTTATTGTGATTTGTTCAAAGGTTTGGGTATTTTGGGAATGTGTGATTATGTGGTTGTTTTTTTTACAATTGGTATAATCCATAATAGTTTCTTTATTGGTGTAATTACTTAAATGTCCTTATAGAGGCATTGATTGACTTGTGTTAGTTAAATTATAAGTAGTATCGATTATTACCATTGCTTTACTATTATAACTTGAAGACATTCAAATGCCATTTTCATTTCAATTAAAGCGTTTATTAAGGAATTTATGACCAAGCATCAGTTTCATATTCAATTCTTCAAATGTCCTCTCCTTCACATTTTTCCATTATGTTCCTTTCATCTTTCAATAAATACTTATTTGTACTATCATTGTACTCTAGATTTCAATATGATTTTATGCTGAAATTATTTTTGGTGGTTTAGTTTGAGGTGAGTTATTATTATTTTTTTTATTGTATGATTTGCTTTGTAAAATCATAGTTTTTATTGTGAGCTAAAGCTTCTATTTTGAAATTAGATACTCTGTTAGCGTAATTTAATGTTAATATTATTGCTTCCCACAAATTTGGTTGCTATGTACAATTTAAACAGTGTGATTTTGTTGGAATATGTTTGGAACAACTATGAGAAAAAAGTTTTTGCATGGAGTATTTGAACAAGGTAAGCCAAAAAAACTACTGCAATTGATGCATTATGGTGTGGTTTATACTATAATTGATTTTTCTACTGCAATTGAATTGTTTGAATGGTATGATTTCTTATCTAATTGTTTGCTTTGGTAATAAGGTGATTCATTTATGCAATTGATTTTGGTGATAGTTAGATTCCGAGTCATTTTGAATTGGTAGTTAATACTTTGTCCTAATTATTTGAGTTTGCATCGAAGTTTATTCTTTCATGTATTCGTTTGTATGTTTGCTTAAGCTATTCATCAAAGTACTTGACTTGAATATGGATGATTGGAAGGTTGAAACCAATAAAAAATAACTACCAATAAGAATTGAAATTCCAAGTAAATCTATCTCCAATAGTCAAACAAGTAGTTGGCTAAAGTCCTCTCCCCCTTAGTTGCAATTTTTGCACTGATGATCAAATTCTAAACGTTGGGATCATGTTGTCCCGTAGACCTTTAAGTACAATTGAAATTCTCCTAACTTTTGGAAACTTGGTGGAGCTCCTATTACTTTAGATTGTCTGTTTAGATTGTTAAATCATTGTCATGCACACAATTTTCTCATAATTATCTTTCTGTTCAGTTATTTTTCTTAATTTTCTGTTTGGAGATGAAAGTTCCTATAGACATTTAAACAACAATATAGTTTATTCTTCTGCCTTTATGACTTCATAAATGCATTTTTTATGTAATATTTGTCCAGGAAAAGAGTTTCCTGAAAATGATAAAATATGAAGACTCATGCTTTATGTTGGTGCTAAACACGTTTTATATAAGGTTTCAAATTCTAGCTTCTTTAGTGTTGAACAATGAATTCCAAACTTTCTTTGTCGTATTTGATGATTATTTCTTTTTAAATTGTACTATTATTTGTTTGTTGGTAGTAGTAGCTTGTGAGTCTTGATTTTCACCCGTATGATTTGATTCTATTCTTAGTATCATTTTATTGTGTACAAGAATTAAATAGTACTATCCAATGTCATATATTGTTAAGCACAAGCACTTTTATGTATTATTTCTTCCTGTTAAAATACATTTTTTTTCTATCTGGATAATCTTATGCTTCTCATTTTTAAGCTGGGGATATTTCTCTTATGTTTGCTTAAAGTCTGCAGGAAGTTGCAATAGTCAAGTTTCTTTGTTCATTGTCTAATTCATAATATCTTTTTGCGAAATTGAAGGTTTTGTTCTGGGAGAAGGCAGATAATGATTTGAACAAATTAAAACTGAGATTTTAATCTAATAACATATCTAGCAATTTTGCAGTTCTCAACCTATCTGTAAGATAACAAAGACAATGCAAGGAAAGCTACTACTACTACTACTACTACTACTACTACTGCTGCTGCTGCTGCTGCTACAACAGACAACTACCATGTGTAATACAAGTTAAATGCAACAGCTTATTACTTTACTTTCATGTAAATATGAGTACTCGTTAGGGAATGAAATTTATGGATTCCGTTTTTACTCAATCTTCTATTCTTACGAAGTTTAATATATAGTTATCCTTAATCTTTTTCATGGTTATTTTTCTATTATTAAAAATTAGTTTTTCATGTTGTTACATCAAATAAAAAATTAAAGGGAAAATAGTCTCAATGACCCTCCAACTCTTTATCAGGTAAAGTTTTAGACCTCTAACAATTAACAATAAAGTTTTGACTCTCAATCTAATAAAATAAAATATTCGTGACTCTTCTGTCAAATCTAGCAGTTAAATTTGACGGGAAGCATTATCTTGCGAAACGCACGAACAAATATTAAAAGTATTATAGTCTCTGAACAAAGAAAGGGCAAAAACACTTTTACCACTGATTTTCCCTCCAATAATTTCTACCCCTTTTGCTCCAAAACTCTAGTTAATCTAAACATTTAAGTTGATCCTATAAATTAACTAATGACAAACTAATAAGGTAAACGATGACATAATTCTAGACAGACTTAAAAATCTAAATTTCAATGCTTAAAAAATACTGTAGAAAAGTACCAAACCTTTCTGATCATACGATTTAAGTCATAGATGGTGTTAAGCCTGACCATTCGGCCTATTGCAATTTCAAGTATTTTTTGAAAGTTAAATTAGTTATTTCAATGTTTTGGGAGCCTTATTACTTTCAATCCCTACACTTTAAATATTAGCTTTTTCGATGGTTTTGATATAACTAACCTATCATTCTCTTTGTGTAGCTTGTTGTATGTAAGTTTCCAAGATAAAGTGATTTAATTTCTTTGTGCATTTTCAAATTTTCTTTTCAAATAAGATTTGGTACGCTGATATATATATATATATATATATATATATATGATTAATTTTTTTATACTGACAGTGTATACACTATCAGCGTTTGATGAATGACAACTATGTAAAATTTAAATTTGAAATTCAATTTTTGTACACATGTCATAAATCAAATGATGATAATATATGCACAGTTGATGTATATAAAGTTTACTCTATATATAAATCATGAGAAGATATTTTGCAAAACTTGTTGGCATTTCGTATAATCTCTTAATGGATATGGTGTGACATCATTGCATTCATATGGAAAGTGGAAAATAGATGTATTTTAGGACCAAAACTAAGCCAAGTGAAAACGTGAGAAATTTTATACAAAGTAACATAAGACTGTATTATGGATTAACTGATAAAAATTCTTAAAAGTTCCTGAAAGTTCTCTTTAATATTAAATTATCTTTTCCTCACAAGATGAGAGATTTTTTTTTTTTTTTTTTCAAGTTGACACAGCGTTTATACTCTTAATTAAATCTAATTAAAAAAAAAAGTATCTCTACTCCTGCCTCCGGAGTCCGAAGTGCTTGACCAGGAAGGCGTGGTTTATAATTCGCCTACACCATACCATACAACGTGGCTCTGGAGAAATGTAAAGTCGATTTATAGGCTAGAAAAATACAGGTGGCCCAAACGCAGCCCTAAGTTGAGATAGGTATTTGCCCCGCTCTCGGTCTCTCTCTGGATTCTGTAGAGGCTGTAGCAGTTTTCTCTCGCTCTCGTGGGCGGAAAAAGACTTGTCTCTCGCTGTATCCTCTTCTCCAAGCAACTTGGAAGTTGGAAGTCCTTCCACTTCGCTTTAGTACGTAAGGTGTTCGTCGTACCTTCACACTAGCACTTCATCATAGTCAGGGTCGGAGGGTTTCACATCTTTTTTTTTTCTTTTTTCGTTTATGTCTATTCTTTTTTTTTTTTTTGGGTGGTAAATCCCTGCCTTTTTTTAGGGCATGTTACTGCATCTTTTTGCTTCAGAATAAAGGTGTAATTTCTTTTTAAAAGATTGTTCATGATTCAGTTTACAAAATGATGAATTATAAACAGCCCGTGACATATTAACAACTCTTTGAATGAATTATAAATGGGTTAAGCTTTAAATCATTTTGTTGCATTTTAGTTTTATTTTTTGGTTTAGAACTCGAAACTCGATGATGTAGAGCATATTGTATTAGTCAGCTGCACGATTGTCTTTCCAGAAGGGCTCGCCAAATTTTTAGTTTTTTTTTTTTTTTGGCCAAAATCAAGCAATATTTCTAGGACCAGAAGATCGCCTCTTTTATACAGAGGGTTTGATTGGGAGGCGGGATTGTTCAAAATTAGGCATTGTTGTCCTTATATTATAGTCTAATTTGTTCAGCTGAGAAATAAAAAAGTTTAGATTTTTGTTATTTCAGGTTGATCAATCTTTGACTTGAGGATTAAAGATTATTTGGTTAGAGATATAGGAGGGAGAGGGGAAGGGAGAGATAGGAGATGGTAGACGAATTGAAGCAGAGCCAGAATCTATGGTTGAATACTGCAGCGCAGTCCTCAAGCATAGTTGACATCGAAGCATTTCAGCCTCAGGAACATCAACTGCAACATTCCACGACTATCTCTGATGGCAAATTGGACTTCTTTGAGAGAGCATTCTCTGCTGCAGGAGCTGCTGTTTTCTCGGCTATTCTTGTCAACCCTCTTGATGTTGCCAAGGTACCAGTTCTTTGCATGTTATACTCTTTTAATAGCTGCATAAGTCATTTGGTCACGGAGAACCCAGTCACGGGGTGTTATCTAATTTATATTTCTGTAATTTGTGCTATAATCAGCAAACGCTGTAATCTATGATTGTGGGATTTATTTATTTATTTATTTATTATTATTATTTTTTTACAGTTCTTTAGTAGAATTGACTTTTTGCTTAGTGTTTAAGTCAATGTAGCTTTGAGGCTACAGGAAATGAATTCTGTTTGATGAGGCGGTCATGTTGAATAGTGTAATTTTACATTTTGTCTTCATTTTATGTTATAGATTTTGGTAAATCCGTTGCATTCTAACTTTTTTGCCTTTTTATATATATTTAGGATGTGTGGTTGAAAGTATAATGTGTAGTAGTTGAGTAATTTTTCCTTATCTTTGAGTGCTTGTTTGTTTATGTTTTCATGCATTTTGTTTACTCACTGTTGTTCAATCATATTTTCAGACAAGATTGCAAGCACAGGCGGCCGGGGTTCCATACTCACATCCACTAAGTAACCTTACAAGTCGCATGGCAGTGTTTGGACCAAACATGGTGACTTTTGTACCCCTCTCTTGGTTATGCCTTGTGTTGGCCTTTTATTCCTTAGTAATCTGAACTTCAGAGAAATAATTGTAGATTTCTGGATTAACTTTTTGTTCACAAGAGTTTTTTTTTTATTATTTAATTTTTATGTGAGTGTTTTGGAGAGGGGAGATTGTACTTATAAGGAACTTTATCATTATAAAAATAAAAAAGAATTAACTGCTTTCTTTTTCCTTATTTCTCAAATTTGTTGTTTCCTCCTTTCCAAGTCACCATGTAACTGGAATTTATTTTTCCTTTTGCTTTTTGTACTCGAGTCCACAGAAAGTATAAGCATGTATGTCATTACAGGTCATCTTGCTGTTTGGCATAATCTTTATTTAAATTGATGGATTCCTGACTTAATACTAGTAACTGGTTTAACATGTTTGATTGAAATTTCTTTGCTTTCCTAGCTTTCTTTTTGGTTTTGTCTTGTCAATTCTGTTCTTTTCGCTTGTCTTAGTTTGCTCAGATTTGTTTCTTCAGATGTTTGCAGATTTAAGATGTTCTCCTTCATGCACTCGTGCTGGTGTACATGGTACGGTATCAATATGCCCACCTGATTGCTTCCACTATAAAGGGACCTTGGATGTGTTTTATAAAATAATCCGACAGGTTAGTTTTCCCTTTGTTTGATGTCTGGAGAGATGGCTGTATGTGATGATTGAATCTGTCTACAATGGTTAATTGGTAGAACTGAGAGGTTCGGGTTGGTGCAGAGCATCTATGAGGACATGATATAGCTTCATGTTCCAGAAAAGTACTCGTCCTCTTGTTTGTCATTTCTGTTCTATAATCCTTTAGATCTAATGTAGATTTCTCTTGCAGGAAGGAATTGCCAGGCTATGGAGAGGAACAAATGCAGGATTAGCGTTGGCTGTACCAACAGTAAGTGGTTTGCAGCTCAGTTTAGATGCTTGTATACCCTTTTTTTTTTGGGTTCAGCATGAACATCTTTGCAGTTTTGTTTCTAATAAACGTGACTGCATCAATGTTTTCAACAGGTTGGGATCTATCTTCCTTGCTATGATATTTTCCGCAATCAGTTAGAGGAATTCACTTTGCAGAATGCTCCAAGCCTTACATTATATGCACCGTTAGTAGCAGGTTCATTAGCACGGTCATTGGCTTGCATAAGTTGTTATCCTATCGAACTTGCTAAAACGCGGATGCAGGTATGATTAGTCATATTAGCTAATATTTGGTTTTCTTTTGTTTAATCTGGAGAGTGTTTTCTGTAATTGGAGGATTGAATGGTATTGAGTGTACAACGAAGAGATATACCTAGAATTGGATTGTAGGGCTTTGGACTGCTATATACAGGCTCAATATTCTTAAGTTTCCTGTTTTCTTAGTTGTTACTTCCCTACTTTGCAAGAAGTGTCTCCATGTTTTCCTTTTGTCAGTTCAGGCATTCAAGGATACCCACATTACCAAGAAGCCTCCAGGAATTTGGAAGACTTTAATTGAGCTTACCTCCAACGTCAAGAGCACTCCTAATAACCAGAGCTGTAAGTAGAATTGTGCTTCTTCAGATTGTTCAGGAGGGATTCATGCCTATTTCATGATGTTTGAGCTGCATGTCTATTTTTAAGGTGTTAACTTTCATCCATGTAAGCTGTGTCAGTCATATTTTGCTTTTTGAATTTTCCCTAAGAATTAATTATCCTTCATTTGTTGTATGTGTCTGACTTCTTCAGAGAATGCGCTGCTTCTGTTTCTGCAATCGATATTCATTTTTGTTGAGCAAAAAAAAAATGTTGGAGAGTTGGATTACTTTGTAACACCCTTAGAAAGTTTTTATGAATTTGTAAATTTATTTTCAAAGCTTTGGACTAGCACTTATACAAGTTCATCCTATTTCTTTCTCAATGATAACTAATCCTTCTGCTTATTCTATCAGTTACAAGCTTTTGTAGTCTTGTTCTTCTCAATGTATTATAAACTCTTACAGTACAAAGCTACCGTGTGTTGTGGACTGGCCTTGGTGCTCAGATTGCACGTGATGTTCCTTTTTCCGCAATCTGCTGGTCAACACTTGAGCCGGTGAGATTCTGTTTTCTTGGTTTCTTCTGACTCTTTACTGATACTGGTTCTTATAACAACTCATTTGCTATGATACGAGGTGCTAAATTTGAAAATGACACTTGGGTAGGTAAGGAGGAGGCTTCTTGGTTTGATGCAAGATGATGCTAATGTTGTGAGTGTCCTTGGGGCAAACTTTTCTGCTGGTTTTGTTGCCGGAAGCCTTGCTGCTGGTGCTACATGTCCTCTTGATGTTGCAAAAACACGAAGACAAATTGAGGTATGGAAAAGAAAAAAAGAATGATTATTCTACATAATTGGAATTTTGACGGCTTATTTCAGATAAATCATTGTACCACTTGAATCCATCTTTTAACATTTATTTTTGTTTGGACTATCCCGAACATAAATGAAAATTCCAAATGATGATAAAAATTTACTGACAGGAAGTGGTAAATATGCTCTTCGTCAGCAATTTTATTCACTTATCACAAGCGTATAACATGTTTTACTGTATGATCCATTGTAGTAAATATAATTGGACCGCATTACTTTTATGTGGTGTCACATGAACTTGGCATGCGCTCTTTTACTATCTATAGTGCATCAAAATGGGTGGATGGCTAAGCATCCTTTCCGATATAAAATGTCTAAGAAAGAAGAGTTGAGTTGTGGACCTGATTCTATCGTGTGTCAGGAGGGCACCTTTGAAACTAGTTTAAAAGAAAATTCACTCTTAGCTTCAGAGGGACAAGTTTTTAGAATGCTCACAGTATCATGACCCACTTAGTTGATTGATCATCAAGCTGTAGGAATATGTGTGGTTTTTTAGGTACGATTCAGGCTGTTTTCTGATGGTAGTGCCTGTCTATACCTGTTGAATGAATATATGCTCTTTGAGAAAAATCATTGAGAATGAAGTTTAAGTTCATTGTTATCTAATTCTATTCTCTAAATTCTTAGGCCAATAATAAATACTCATTTTGTCCTTGCACCTGTTGTGTACACAGAAGGATCCTGTCAGGGCACTAAGGATGACCACTAGACAAACACTGCTGGAGGTTTGGAGGTAGCGTCTTCTGACTTTTGATTTTTTTTTTTTCGTTGCTACACGTAGCTCATGACATTATCCCTGTTTAGATCAAATGCAAATCCATTTAGGCATGTTGCATTTTTTTAAGACAGATAGAATAGATGCTTCAGTTTAAAGAAACCAGAAGCTCGATTTCCCTAGAGCATGATTCACAGATTTCAACTTTTCTGCGGTCTGTTGTTTGTTATCTTCTTCTTATATGGATTTTTTTTTAACCCATTTAATCTTCTTGATTGCTGTCTGCAAGAAGTTGGGTTTGGGAATTTGCTGGACTATGTAAAAGTCAATTATGTTGCATCTGTAGAACTATGAAAATTTAGGGAATCAGCAGAATTGGTTGTCTCAGTAGAAATATCTGTTGGACCATCTTCCTGCCAAAATCTGTTTCATATTTCGCTTCTGACGTTTCGGAGTCTGAATTTGCAAATTTGATCGCACAGAGATTGGGGAATAAAAGGACTGTTTACTGGTGTGGGTCCTCGTGTTGCTCGTGCTGGCCCTTCAGTTGGAATTGTGGTTTCATTCTATGAAGTCGTTAAGTATGTTTTTCATCGACAGTATGCCACTGAAGTGTAACATGCGGAGAACAATCCTATTTATCATTTGAAGGTTGGTTCTCCACTGTTGAAAGAGCGTAGTTGCTGACTTATTTGAAGCTAACTCCCTAAGACGTTACAGGCAGTTTTGGTGATATGTTGGATCGTCCAACCTGCGAATGCCACAAATAATTTATCTCCTCGGTTATGTTTCTACCTTCTTGGGTGGTTTAGGAACTGATATGATATTTTGTAAAAAAAAAAATTTTGGCCGGTTAGCAGGTTTCTCTTGGGATAAACATCTCAGTTAGTAGCAGGAAACATATTTTTCTGTCTTGCGTCTTCAATGGGGATCTGGGCTTGGGAAATTTTTTTTTATTTGTTCCAACTAATTGAGCTGTGGAAGTTTACTATGTAATGGAGGGATTAGTTGGATTCCATTATGAGACGTGGGGAGTTCCCAATTCCCCGCCTCGACCCTACTTGAAATTGAACTAAAGCATAAAAGCATCTATCAATACAGTTGGATGCTATTGACCCTTCATATGGGAGAGGCTATTCAACAAAATTCTGCTAAGTGAAAGGTCCATCTGCGGATCAAGAACGCTTCCAGTCAGTGTGCCAAAAGGAAAATGCTTACTGATTGGTTGGGGATTGCAAGCAAGAGCCAAAACGAATATGGTTCGGGATAGAGGATTTTTTGGGTCTCCTTCCAGCCCATTGAGTTGTGGATAGCATGCTTGCAACTTAAATAGACTAGTAATATTTAATAAGAGTAAATTTTATATGCACTAAGTAACAGTACGTATACTATTATCATTGGAACCATGATATATATGCAAAAATTAAATTTCAAATTCAAATTTTATACAGTTGTCATTCATCCTACATTAACAGTGTATATATACTATTATTGTAGGAAAGATTAATTCATTTAATAGATGATTAATATTCTATGAAAGATTAATTCATTTAATAGATGATTAATATTCTATGAACGTTGCATGCATTATTAGGTTTAAATGAATATTACGTATATTGAATTTGAATTTCAAATCTAAGACTTTGTTTGGATTGCATTTTTTTGGGGGTTTTTTATAGAAAAAAATACTGTAACGATTTGATATAACATGAGATAAAAAGATAATTAAAAAATATGTTATGTCTACAGAAAATGTAGTAATTTTTCTTTGGAAAATTGTAATCTAAACTAGCAGTAAGTTTTACTGATATAACATTCGTCTAACGATTGTGTACATATTATCAATACATATAACATTTACTCTTTAATAAAATGGTGAATGGTTGGCAACCTAACTTAAATTTCGAACACAATACATCAACCATGAGAGCAATATGAACATCTATGGAATTAAAGAATACTGCTAAAATCCATCACCTAATAACCAGCGCATCAAATAGGCGGAAGAGTAATGAAAATTATTTGTTTCTCATGTGTGGTAAGAGAAGGGTAAAGAAAGTAGCGGGCTAGGTTTTTTTTTTTTTTTTTCCCCATTAATTTTTCGGTGACTGGCCAAACTATTTATTAGCGACATTGTTGTAATAATGTGCTCTTGGTACATGACCGAATTTGTCGTGCGATGGAAGAAGAAAATTTGTACGGTTCCCTTCATTTATCTTTTGTTGTTTGACCAAAATTTTAAAGCCAGCTGAGAAGCAGAGGCAGAAGAATTTAGCTAAATCATCAACCGTTTAGTGAAATATTCGACATAGCTTCTGTGCAACAAATTTTCTTCTTTTTGGAATCAAAATATATGTACTCTTTGGCTTGAAGATATCTGCAAATTTGTCTGACAAAGTCTGAATCCTTTTTCTCTTCTTAGCTCAACATGGGAATGTTCATATTTCCTCCAACGCTTCTTCTTGGCCACAAAACCCAAAAAAATGGAAAAATAATAATGAATAAATAAAAGGTCCGTACTACTGCCGATCCCTAACAAAAGAGGAAAAAAAAAAAAGTAAACATACTCTTCTAATTAAACAAAAAATTGAAAGACCCGATAAAAATTGGAAAAAAAAAAAAAACAATCCCAGAAATCAAATAAAAAAAGAAAAAGAAAAGAAAACTACGAAGAAACTATACAGACCAAAAACCCGATAAAAAAAAATCTGGCTACTCTGGAAAATGATGAAGGATAAACAAAATAAAATAAAAATTATCAACCGAGTCCATATTTTTGAATAAATGTTGCCTCTTCTGTCTAATGTGCCATCAAAAATCAATGTTGAATTTGGTTGAAAATTGGATGTTTGCTTCTTCCATTTGCCTTTCCCCTTCCTTCAGATTTTGTACAAGTGATTTTGAATGAAGGCCGTGATAAAGATGATAATTGATGAAGAAGCACGTCAAAGATCATTTAGTGAATGATGTATGTCAACGCTAATGCCAGCAGCATCAGGACGTAGGCTATCCCCTGATCTATCGCCGTACCTGCCAAAATTAAAAATTTTTTTTTTAAAAAAAAACCATTAATACATTTATTGAATATATTACTAGTGTTGCTGAGGAGGGATTAAAGGTGAGTAAAATGTTGGATGGGGTTAAAGAATCTGTACCGTCGCTGCTGGTGGGAGCAGGAGCAGGGGCATTAGCCATGGCAGCGGCGGTGGGGAAAGCAGTGGCTAAGACGAGGCAGATGACAGCCACCAATGCAATTGAAGCCCTTGACACCACCTCCATTGTTGGGTAGGTTAGTTTTGTCTCCGAAAGAATATTGGTTTCCGTTCCTCTGCGATGCGAACAGAAGAATATTGGATTTCCTACACCCGTTCCTCTGCGAACAGCGGCTGCGCCTTTGGTTGAGGGAGGAGGAGGAGGAGCCGCAGCCGCAGAGTATGGGAGACAAGAAAGCGGTGACAGGAACAATGTATATGGCTATATGTTGCCTTCAAGGGATTTACGGCTTCAATTACTTCAGCCGAATGAGATTCCCCAAAGTATATATAAGACAGCGCAGAGGCTGAGAGAGGAAGGCGGCCAGCCCCCCAATCTGCATAACGCATAACGATGTCCATCACCCTTCCATTCCCGTTGTGGGACCCACGCCCCCCACCCGCAATTGCAGTGCGTGCACTGGACCGCACTTTCCCATGTGACCGTTATTTGAATTTTTTTCCTTTTTTTTTTTTTTTTTTTTTACAAAATTTGGGTGGAGCTTTGAATTACAGCACTTGATGCTGCGTTGTTATTGAGTGCCACTCTGTCATGTTTTCCTTTCTTTGTCCTTTTTTTTTTCCCACTTTTTGGAACCTTCTGTTTTTAACCGAGTAATTAATTAGGTTTAAGCTTTCAAGAATATTATTGCTGTCCCAATTATAAAATATTTATTATTCTTACCAAAATTTGAAAACGCTACCACTTCTTTCTTTAGAGGTTTGTATCATATCATATTGTTTTTGTTTAGCCGCCGGCCCAAAAATGCAAAACGAGGTGAAGGATTCCAAAATCAGAAGAAGAATGCATATATTTTGGAGGGGTGAATTTGAATACTATCAAAACCATGGAACCAAATTTACTCAAATGTGCCGAGGAGACTGAAAGATCACCAGTCCACACAAAGCATTGAGTGTGTTTAGATAGGAGATTATTTGAGATAATATTTTAAAAAGACATGACAACATTTGTTTGATCTGATTTATGTGAGATAAAAAAAAAGTAGTTGAAAAATGTGCTTACGATACAAACAAATAAAATTGTGCAAGAGAGTGCGTTTCTATTATAATTTTGCACGTGACAAGTTATTTCTTAATTTCGTCTAATCATTAATAACTTAGATTATTTTTAGATAATAATAGATAGAAACAATGGCCGTAAAAAAAAAATCCTGGGCTTAAGTAAGTCCTTGCTCGTCCAAAAACAACGCTTCTATTAGCAGACAAGTGAAAAATTGGGTCATATACCCATATACATTTAGATCCTTCTTCCAACAACTGCCATGCAGTTCATGATCCTAAACCAAAATGAAGGTATCAATTACAGCCATTGTTGATTTTTTTTTTTTATTTTTAAACCCTCCCCACCTCCTCTATTTCCCACCCAAAGTTGAATTGACATGTCAAAATGGAGGTATCAATTACAATTCAACTATGTTGATCCGTCCAAATTCGCCCACTAATTAATAACTTGTTAAAATTCATCCATTAATTTTTAATGGGTCTAAAGAGGTAGCCAATTAAACCCATTTAATTGGTGGATAGTGGATTCACTCGGTTCACCCATTTATACCCAATTATGCATTTAAACTAAACTTTTAGTGAATGTTAAGCAAATAAATTTGAATTTCTTACCTGTCTAATAACAATAAAATACAAAAAAAAAAGTGAAATTTTTAGTAACTCATAAATCGATATAAATGAGATCTATTTATCCCCATTTATTTAAATGGACATAAATAGATTGAGCCTATTATATCGATTATCCAATTATGTCCCGCTCAAATATATCCGAATCATCTATTTTGAACCCCTTACTTGTCAGCTTGGAATCAATCACTATCTTTTTTTTTTTTTCAGGGGGGGAAGGGGTGGGGGTTGGGTGTGATAGGTGTTTATCACTGTCATACAGCCGCCAACGATAATTGTGGCGCGGCCAGAGAGGAAGCCTAACGTCTTTGACTAGCAAATCAACAAAGCATTTCTTAGACAGTTAGATGTCGATGCAAGCAAACCTGTGTAGCTAGTTTGTGAGTTGGGGATAGAAAAGAAAAGAAGAGAAAGGTTAAGTTGCCAGAGAAAAGAAAGAATAAGAAAAGAAGAGAAGAGATTTTAATATTATTTGGGAGTTTATGAAAGAAAGGAGGTGATTTTGAACACATTGATCAATAAATATTTATTCAATAGTTTTTTAAGGATAGAATGGGTAATTTAAAAATTTTTTGCAGCCTTTCCTTTGATTTCTGCCCGATTTGGGCCGAAAATTTTTTTAAAACTGTAGCTGCCTCTTCTTCCTTCCAAATCTGTTAGATTCTCTTCCTTTCTATTTCACTTAAAACTGTCAAACGTGGGAGATGCTACCTTTCTCTTCCCTTCTTTTCTTTTCTGCTCAAATCTCATCTCCTAAACTAGGCAGTAAAGATTAAATAGCTAAACATTGAAGCTCAATTACCTAAAGGCACACCAAATCTTGATACCCAACCGATCTACAGAGAAACCACAATACGTTAGAGCTCATACGGCAAGTACTAAAGGTCTGTACCCTTCAGTGAATGTGCAAGGAAGGATAGTAGAAATAGAATTAAAAACACTCTGGATAATATAGGTATGCCTTCTTACAAGGTCCATGACAGTCCACTCAAGGGGTGAAATATGAATGCGAACCGGAGCATCGCTCATAGATGTAGAAGTGACCAACCGAACCTCTCCTGGAAATCTATATCCTTGGGGAGATGGTTATTGGCACAAGGGCAATTATTCCTCGAGTAAAAGTGCAAATGAAGCTAAGGGAACACAAAGGCGTAATGGTAAAGTAACAAAGGTCATGCCTAGAATGCCTCCAC